GCCATACCTCACAGGCAAGGCAGGGACACACAGCCGCCCTTTACCTGCCTCCTCAGCATCACACACGCTTGTGTGACTGAAGATAGCATCTTTGACCCCATCTGAAGCACCATAGCCAGCCCTCCAGCTCATACACCTTGGCCTGTTACCCCTAGGTGTGACCCCAACACTTTTCAGCCAAGGGGACGACAGTATCTGCTGGCCTGGGAAGACTGAGTTCCGTCAGTGAACCCGCCCTCCACTCTTGCCTGGCCACTGACTCTCACTCTTCTGCTTTTCCCCAGCAGGAAGGGCCCAGCCTCACCTACGCGACCTGCAGTCCCCCGACCACCTGAGGCTCCCCTCTTAGACTTATAAGTCCGTGGCCACTGGCATCCGGATGCCTGCCCTGCCTGCCTCCCCCAGGGTCCCTTCAGAGGGGCCCTGGGCTTTCTGACTGCCCAGAGGGGCCTCCAGCGCTCCCTCCAGCCATCTCTGTTAGCTTCACCCTCCTGGTTCAAGCAGTGTTCTTTCTCCATCAGGCCTGGTGGCTGTTGCGTGGGGCTCCCCAAGGCTAGGGGTGTCCCTAGGCCAGTGGGTTGGAAGACAGGGTGACCAGAGAAGAGAGAAGCCCAAGGGGGCTGAGCACGTGTCTGGAACTATGGGTGCACTGCCTGAGTGGTGTGTGAGAGGCCAGAGTGCATGGGGGTGGGAAGGCCACCGCACCTCTACCCGGACTACCTATGAAACTCCGGCCCCTACCTGCCGCCTGGCTCTGTCTTCTTCCCTTTCCTCCCTTCTCCTGTCTGGCCCGTCTTTCCAGGGAACCCTACCCCCCACACATACACCCATCCCCTGTCCCCTCCCCCGCCGGCGTGGCGGGGCAGCTGCACTGCCTTACCAGCTCTCTCCTTGCTGTCTCTCTCCCGCTTTCTCTCCCGGCTTCTCTCCAACTGCCAGCCGATCGGGTCAGGCAAGTCCATCCCGTCCTGAGAGCCCCCGGCCCCCCTTCGAACTCTAACCAGATCCCTTCTCTTCCTCGGAGACCTCCCTTTCCAAGCCTGCCTGGACGGCTGTTCCGTGACTACCATTGGCTCCTCCAGCCACAAAGCCACCCCCTTCATCTGTGACTTAGTCTGTCGTAGTGGTGAGCTGACACATCCAGGCGTGATGTTGGTGAAAATTTGTGCCCCTCTGTGGTATCGCTCCTGCCCTGTTCTATAAATATCTATAAATACTCATATATATATACAGATATATGGCCCACAGCCTCGCCTCTAGTGCTGGGAACAATCACTGTGCCGTCCTTGTGGAGTCTGTGGCCCAACTACAAGGGAACGCTGTCCCTTGACATCCCCGCTTCAAAGTGTGCCACATGCAGTGAGCCTTCCTGTCATGCCCTGCCTGTGGACAGCCAGCCCTCCCGTCCCTCCCCTCGAAGCATGGGGGTGCTGTACAGGCAGCGCGTGGTCTGACGCTACCAGTCTTGCTGCCTCTTGGCTGAGAATAAAACCCATTTCTGGATGACAGGAACGACGTGTCCTCTGCTGGCTTGTGTTTTCTCTGGAGCTCAGGGGGTGAAGGTTTACACACTGGGGTGTCAGGGTGGGAGGACGGGCGCAGCCATTGCTACAGTGGTGCTGTCAGTAGTGAAGAGGCCACATCTTTTCCAAGGCCTCCTTGGAAAAGCACCTGGAGCTTAGCTCATCCTCAGCCTGTGAGCCCCACTCTGACCATTAGGGAGCAGGGCCACGAGCTCAGCCTGGTGGGAGGACCTGGGGCTGGGGCTGGAGCCCTAGAGGGATGGAAGCAGGAGGAACAGGCCACCAACCCACACAAGCAAGGGGAATGGAGGGATGGAATGGAAGATGCCTGGGCTGGAAGTCGACACTCCCCTCCCATTCTTAGATCAGGCTCCTCAGCTCATTGGCCATCGGAACAGAACTGCTCCCCATATCACTGTGGCAGTCCCCTGGAGTCCCCCAGGCTTCACCAAGCAGTGGCCCAGGTGACAGGTCCCCAACAACCCCCTTGGACATGCTCAGACACTCCCAGCTCTGAACAATCAGAAGCCTGCCCTCTGCTGCCTGTTCAGTGGCACAGACGCCAGGACCCAGAACAGAAAAAGGAACACACAAGGTCCAGCAGTATAGATAAATCCATTTATTTTGAAATAAAAAGCAAGATAAACAGGAGCCGCATCACCAGGGTGCCACAACCACCTCTCTGCACCCTTCCTCTGCATTATGATATCAATAAATAAGTTTCCTAGCCCCAAATAATTATTTGAACCTCCTCCCCGTATTTTTTAAAAGGTATATCTTGGCTTCAGGCCTATTCCCCATTTGCCAGCTCCAAACTCTGGTATGATACAGGGGGTGGCCCTACCCCCGAATATACAAAATATTACACGTACAATATGTACAGGTGGGTGTCCCCACCGGGCCAAGTAAGCCCAGTGGGGCAAAGCTGGAGAGGGTGCTGGCTCTGTCCTCTGAGTGAGATGACGGATGCCCCTGAGGGAAGGACTCCTGAGGGGGTGGTGGTGAAGAGGTCACCAGGGAGCCCTTGCTTGACCACAGAGGCAGCCTCCTTTTTTGCTGTTTCCCGTTTATTTTTTGTTTTTTTTGAGGCAGCCTCCTTTAAAAAAAACAAATTTATGAGCCTCTGACTTTTTATTTTTCTAGAACAAAATTCCCCCCCCCAATTTTTTTTTAAAGGTCATCTTGGTTTTAGATGTCGTCATGCCCATTTGCCAGCTTTTCCAAACTCCAGTATGATACAGAGCCCAACCCCCAAATATACAAAATATTACACATACAATATGTACAGGCGGTGTCCCGGCCGGGCCAAGTTAGCCCCAATTGAGCAAAGCTGAAGGGTGCTGCCCCCTGTCCCCTGAGAGACAAGATGGATGTCCCTGAGGAAAGGACTGCTCTGGGGTAGGGAATGGGGGGAAGGGGAGGGAGAGGTTGTCTGCAGAGGCAGCCTCCTTAAAAAATAATACATTTATGAGCCTCTGGCCCCATCTAAAAAGGAAAATAATAAATTTTTTTTTATCTACCTAAGAAGGGAAATAATCTAGTTGTTTAAAATCCCACTAAGAAGGAATAGAATATAACACAAATTTTTTTGTCCAGGTAAGAATGGAACTAATCCAATTTTTATCAACCTAAGAAGGGAAATAGTTCAAATGTTTTTTCTGTTCTTCTATTTTTAAAATTTTTCTCCTCCCCTAAGAAGGCAAATAATGATTTTCTACTTTTGTTCCTTTTTCTATTCTTGTTCTTTGTTTCCTCTAGCTGCAAATTTGTGTTTTTCCTTCTAAGGGATAAAATTATTTAATTCATCTATAAAGGGAAATAATCTATATGTAAATCCAGCTATGAAGGGAAATTTTTTTTTATTTTTGTGTTTTTAAGTTTTTTTACTCCCACCCGTCCAATTTTTTTTATTTTTTATGCAGCTAACAAGGGAAAATAATCTAAAGTTTTCGGTATCCACTTTGTAACAAGTGAAATCATCCAATTTTTCAATTCCAGCTATGGAGGACAATAATATCGTTTTATTCCTGAAGCCAGCTAAGAAGCATAGTAGTTTATTTTCTATGTTGGATTTTTATCTCAATTTTTTTCTCATTTTGTTCTCCCTCAGTCTACAAAGTTGTTTTAATGCCTCTAAGAAATGAGATAATCCAATTTTTGAAATGTAACTATGAAGATGCATATTTAGTTTTTCAAGCCAGCTGAGAAAGGAAATAATTTTTGGTTTTGTTCCTCTATTTTTGTTTTTTCTAATTTGTCTCCTCCAGCCCCAAATTTGTGTTTTTCCTTCTAAGAAGAGATAAAATTATTTAATCCATCTATAGAAGGAAATAATCTATGTGTAAATCCAGCTATGAAGGGAAATAATTTTTTTTATTTTTATGTTTTTAAGTTTTTTTGCTCCCACACGTCCAATTTTTTTTATTTTTTATGCAGCTAACAAGGGGAAATAATCTAAAGTTTTCGGTATCCACTTTGTAATAAGTGAAATAATCCAATTTTTCAATTCCGGCTATAGAAGAAAATAATATCGTTTTATTCCTGAAGCCAGCTAAGAAGCACAGTAGTTTATTTTCTATGTTGGATTTTTATCTCAATTTTTTTCTAATTTTGTTTTCCCTTCAGTCTCCAAAGTTGTTTTAATGCCTTTAAGAAATGAGATAATCCAATTTTTGAAATGTAACTATGAAGATACATATTTAGTTTTTCAAGCCAGCTAAGAAAGGAAATAATTTTTCTGTTTTCGTTCCTCTATTTTTGTTTTTTCTAATTTATCTGTCTCCTCCAGCCCCAAATTTGTGTTTTTCCTTCTAAGAAGAGATAAAATTATTTAATCCATCTATAGAAGGAAATAATCTATGTGTAAATCCAGCTACGAAGGGAAATAATTTTTTTTTTATTTTTGTGTTTTTAAGTTTTTTTGCTCCCACACGTCCAATTTTTTTTATTTTTTATGCAGCTAACAAGGGGAAATAATCTAAAGTTTTCGGTATCTACTTAACATGTGAAATCATCCAATTTTTCAATTCCAGCTATGGCGGAAAATAATATCGATAGTTTTATTCCTGAAGCCAGCTAAGAAGCATAGTAATTTATTTTCTATGTTGGCTTTTTGTCTCAATTTTTTTCTAATTTTGTTCTTCCTTTAATCTCCCAAAGTTGTTTTAATGCCTCTAAGAAATGAAATAATCCAATTTTTGAAATGTAACTATGAAGATACATATTTAGTTTTTCAAGCCAGCTAAGAAAGGAAATAATTTTTGTCTGTTTTTGTTCTTTTCTATTTTTGTTTTTTCTAATTTGTCTGTCTCCCCCAGCCCAAAATTTGTGTTTTTCCTTCTTAGCAGGGATATAGCTAAATTAGTTAATCTAACTATGAAGGGAAATAACTTTTTTCAATTTTCATTTTTTGTAATTTTTTCCCCTCCTTCCAGCCCCCAAATTTGTTTTTATCTTTCTAAAAGGGAAATAATTAAAAATTTTTTTAGATACTGCTAAGATGGTCACTGGAAAATAATCCAAAAATTAGGACTTAGTCCTGGCCCAGGTGGGAGGGCTGTTGTCTTGGGAATCTAAGGAGAAAAGGCTGACTGGGAGTGGCGGGGGTGGGATGGGGGCAGCACCACTTCTCCAAGCCTTGCTGACACTATAAGACTTTTAGGCGATCCAGACCTTGAAGTGGTTCTTTTCCTTATTCCGGTAGAATAAGGGCAGGCAGGGGTTGACGCCCAAGCCCGTCTTGTCTGAGGGGCTCTGTATTTGGTGAAGCAGCTCCATGATCTGCTGAGCAGCATGGTTCTCAGGAGCGGCCCCCCTCTTGGCCACTTCTGCAGGCTCCTTGTTGGCGAGGCTCACCTCGTAAAAATCTTTGGGGAGAGAGGAGCAGGCTGCTGAGCCACCTGCAGCCCTTCTCTCCTATTCCTGTCCCACCCTGCCCAAGGGCTCTACTTACCCCCCTGCTCCGGAGCGTCAAGCTCCTGCAGGGCTGAGGGCCCTGGAATGGGCTCCTGTGCAGCACTGTGGGTGTCTAGCAGGACTTTGCCGTGGTCCTTGTCGTGCTGGTTCAGCAGCTGCATCACTAGCCCCTGCAGCTCCAGCATCTTCGCCTGGAGAAAGAGGTGCTCAGCGCCTGCCCCCTGCCCCTGCCCGTGCCCACAGCAGCGTTCTGGGCCCTACCTTCATATCCTCCTTTTCTCTTGCCATCTCGCGAACGTACTCCTCGTTCTCATGCTGCTGCTTCTTCAGCGCAGCTCTCTGATATTGGTACAGTGTGACATACTCCCCTGCGAAAAGACAGGGTTCAGACTCCGGGGTTCCCCTGACCCTACGGAGAGCTCGCCCGGCCATGCCCATTCCTGGCTCACCAATGGTTTCTGTCTCTCCAGCCAGCTGGATACAGCGATGTTCCAGCTCATCCACTTGCTCCTTCAGATCCACCTTCTCCCGCATGAGCTCTACAAACCGGTTCTGGTGCCAAAATCACGGGGTCAGGTCTGGGCAGCAACCTCCCTGCCCCTCCCCTTCTTGGCTCAAGCCAGGACAGACTCACTCACCTGAAGCTTCTCCATGTCCACCTGTAGGGCCCGGTAGGTTTCCCCAGACACGACGTCGCCTCCAGTTCCAGGGCCTGCGGCTGCCTGGAGAGCCAAGCAGCGCACCTGCTGTTCCGTCAGCCGCCCACTCAACTGGGCCTGCTCCTCCTCAGCGCTGGCCAGAGCTGAGTTGAAAGATGTCACCTGCAAGCAAAAGTGAGTGTGCTTGTGGGTGGACACAAAGGACTTACAGACGAAAGGAAGCAGAGAGGAACCCTCCCAACTCGGGGCCTAAGGGGATATGCCTGTTGTTCACAGGTACATGGTGTCTGATCACTAGCTTCCAAGGAAGGGGGGTTATCAAGAGAAATCAGAGGGCAGGAAGTGTGGGACAGAGAAGGGGCGAGAAGAGTTATGTTCACCATGGCTTCTGGGTTCTCTAGGTTCTCCGGGATGCCCAGCTTGGGCCTACCAGCCTCCTCATCTGCTCCCTCCTTGCCAGGTGTGTCCTCTGTGTCAGGTATCTCCTTGTCAGTTATCTGTTCCTTGTCAGGTGTGTCCTTGTTAGATGTGTCCTTGCCAGGTATTTGCTCCTTGTCAGGAATGTCCTTGTCAGGTATTTGCTCCTTGTTAGACGTGTCCTTGTTGGGTATCTGCTCCTTGCCAGGAGTGTCGTCCTTATCAAGTATCTCCTTGCCAGGAGTGTTGTCCTTGTCAGGTATCTCCTTGCCAGGAGTATTGTCCTTGTCAGGTATCTCCTTGCCAGGAGTATTTGCTCCTTGTTAGACGTGTCCTTGTTGGGTATCTGCTCCTTGCCAGGAGTGTCGTCCTTATCAAGTATCTCCTTGCCAGGAGTGTTGTCCTTGTCAGGTATCTCCTTGCCAGGAGTATTGTCCTTGTCAGGTATCTCCTTGCCAGGAGTGTTGTCCTTGTCAGGTATCTCCTTGCCAGGAGTGTCATCTTTGTCAGGTATCTCCTTGCCAGGAGTGTCGTCTTTGTCAGGTGTGTGGTCGTTGTCAGGTATCTCCTTGTCAGGAGCGTCCTCCACTCCATCCTCAAGTCTCTCCTCCTTCTCTGCTCTCTCCTTGTCCAATCCATCTCCTGGGGGCAGCCAGAAGAGTCCTCAGACAACCCAACAAGGGAGGCAGAATGGACCACCTCCCTCACCGTGTGACCTGGGCCAGCCACTCCCCCCAGAATCCCTAGCTGCTCTAGAGGTCCCCTCCCCCTCACTTACCCTTCCCAGGGTCAGCCATTAGGCTCAGCTGAGCCTGCAGCTGCTGGTTCTGCTGGCTGGCGGCTTCCAGGCGCTCCTAAAGAGACAGGAAAGAGGGTAAGGAGGCACAGAGGCTGCCAGGTCCTCCCACTCGGGGGCCCAGCCCTCAGCAACTCCCTCACCTGGGTCTCCTGCAACTCCTGGCGGGCCCTCTCGGCCACCATCGCGCCCTGAACTTTCTCTTGCTGTAGCTGATCCACGGCCTGGGTCTGCTGCAGGAGCTCCCTGTGTAGAGTCTCCTTCTCTGAAACCAGCTGCTGGTAGGCGGCCGCATGCTGTTGGTAGGCCACCGCGTACTGCTGCACGTAGAGCAGGTACTGATCCCGCTCCTGCTGCAGACTCTTTGCCTCGTCATTCTTCAGTTCCACCTGCGGGAAGACCCTGGATGTGAGGGCAGGTGGTGGCCTGCTTCCAGACTCTGAGCCCATCAACAGGGTAGCCCCATCAACAGGGCAGCGGGGGCAGGGTGGGACTCTGCCGCCTGCGCAGGCCCCTGGCCCCTCGCTCCGGGCCTGTCTCCCTTGCACAGAGCCCCAACGACTCCTCACCCAGCCTCACATCCCATAATCTTCTTCCCATCATTTAAACTTTAGGCCACAGATGAGAGGAAAAGCAAAGGGAGCCAACCAGCAAGCATCTGTTGCGTGCACATTAAATGCCTGACATTTTACATCCATTATTTCATTTAATCCTCAACACCTCTCTGAGAAAAGTACTAACTTCTTTTTCTTTTGTTTGCTTGTTTGTTTCTTTTTTTAATTTTTGTTTTTGAGACAGAGCCTCACTCTGTCACCCTGGGTAGAGTACAGTGGTATCATCATAGCTCACTACAAGCCCAAACTCCAGGGCTCAAACAATCCTCCAGCCGTGGCCTCCCAAAATGCTGTGATTACAGGGGTGAGCCACTGCGCCCAGCTAGATGTAAAGTATTTGACTATCTGCCAGCAGAGCCAAGACTGGAATCCAGTCTGAATCCAAAGACCTCCCCATTAGACCATCTTCCCCTAGAGTTAGGGGCACTCAGTGCCTCTAGCTGGAATGATTATGTCTAGACCTGGGAGAAGCCCAGGGCTACCCACCTCTGAAAGTCAGAGGGCAGGAAGCAATAGTCACAGGACTGCTCTGTAGACTTGTGGGGTCCACTGTCCCCCAGGCTGGCACTACCTTGGTCCTGGCCCGGCACCTCCCCCCTTCTCAGGTAGAGCAGTGGTTACCGTTTCCTTCAGCTCTCCCAGCTTCTCCTGTAACTGGCCCAGCTTCTTAGCCAGCTCCATCTTCACATGCTGCTCTGACTGTAGTGCACTAGTAATTTCCATTTTGTCATTACTCTGGACAGAGAGAAGTAATCTGCAGCTGGAGACCTCAGGACTTAATGTCCACTTCCCACAGCGCAGGGACGAGTGGTCATAGGTTGGAAACCCATCCCCCCGCCACCACATACTGGAGTGGGGCTCTGGTACCATTTCACATAAGGTCTACCCTGCCCAATTTTATAGGTGGGGAAACAAAGTCCCAGAGGGCAAATGAGGGCAGGCTAGCCAAGTGGGACCACGCACCAGTTTGATAAAGCCATCCTGCAGCTCGGCCAGCTGCTTCTTGAGCTCAAGGTTCTGGGAGACTGCACGACTGATGGTGGCACGGTCGTTCTGCATGGTCTCCAGAATCTTCTTGCGCTCTTCTGCCTGGTCCCCCCACATTTCGGCCTGCTGTTCCAGCACCCGCAGCCGCTGCCACTGCTCCAGGTTCTGATGACTCAAACTCTCATTTTCTTGTAACTGGGCATGCAGCTGTCCTTCCAGGCTTTCCAACTGCTTTTGCAGCTGCTCAGCCTCTGCCTGTAGCTGCTGCTCGGTCTCAGAGGGCCCTGCTGGGGGCTCCGGGGGTCGTGGTTCAGCTGAGAAAGGAAACGTATGATAAAGGCCTCTGGATTCTCAAAAATCCCTCTGTTTGGTCCATAGCTCCTCTCCCCAAACCTTGGCTTCCTGGCTAATAATTCCTCACCCTCATATCATTTTCAATCTTTCAAGCCATTATTGTGCTCAAGACAACTTGTGGATGGGTGACAATGGGCATTCCCTCCTCTGCAAATGTGGCCACTGAGGCTCAGAGAGATTAAAAGACTTGCTACCTCCTGGCACAGACCCCTTTCCCACTGCCAGAAAGCTCTGGCATCTTCCCACCTCCAGGGGACATTCTAAGCTACCCCCATAGCCGTCCCACACAATCCTCCTCCCAGGTGCCCCCAGTCCCAGCTTACCTATCTGGCTCTTCAGTTCAGCCAAACTGGCCTCTAGTTCTCGAACTTGAGTCACACTGTGCTCCTTTTCCTCTTTCAATATGTGCATCTGCCCAGAGATGGGGGAAAAAACCACAGAAAGAGAGACTGGTAGGTGGACAGACCACCATCTTCCTCTCTGTCCCCACCTCCACAAACCCAAAACACATGCCCACCTCTGCCTGCACACCCCAGCAAGCCATGGGATTCCCATTTTATAGGTGCCCAGAAAGATCAAGTGACTGATCTCAGGTGGGGGTTGCAGGATCAGACCTCACCTTTTCTGACATTTCCTTCATTTTCTCCTGCCACATGGCAGTATCTCCTTTCAGAATTGCTAAATAATGGTCTCTGTCAATCTGTAACCGTTTCATCTTCTCCGTAAGCTGCAAGAATGGGCTCAGAAGTTAGGAGGGCTGTCCCTTGTTGCTACCTGCTTCTGGCCACCTGTGGTCATCCTCCTTCCACATACCCCCCAAAGCCTCACCTCGGCCACACGTTTCTCCAGCTTCTCCCGATCGTCCAAGATCTGCTGTAATTGCAGGCTGCTGTTCTGGGCTTCAGTCGGGGTAGCAAACTGGATGGTGAAAAATGAAGAGGTTAGATCCTCGGAGCTTAGGCTGCTCCACAAAATGCTCCCCCGAGGGCTGGAGCTGGGCTCGATGGACAGCCAGGGTCAGTAAAGGTTTCTGCCCTCTATTATTATGACCATGTAATAACAAAAGTGTTGGCTTAGCTCCCTGGAGGAAGAACAGACTCACAGACTAGCCATATAGGTGTAATCTATAGAACAATGGTTTTCAACCAGGACACTTTTTAAAAAAAAATTTTAAAAGCCACTGAGATTCTGATTCCAGAGGTCTAGAGCGGGCCCCAGTTTGTAGATTTTTAGCAATCTCTAAAGGATTCTATGGTAGGACCAGAACAAGGATCCAAATTCTCCAGCTCTGGACTAGAAGCCGCCCCCTACCCCTGCAATGGTCCCTAGAGACTATGGCCCTGGCTATTGGGGCTCGGACTGCTCCGAGGGGCTGCAGCCTCACCTGCAGTAGCAGGAGCTCGGAAAAGTCCAGTTTCTTCTGCATTTCGTCAAACTGACGCTTCAAGGCCTCCTTCTCAGATACCAGGAAGCGAAGCTTCTCTTCCAGTTCTGAGTTTGTCTGCTTTAAGTCCTCATTATTTTTGCTGTGGCCAGAGGTAGTGTAGAAAGGAATGAACAAAGTACAGAAAGGACCGTGTTGGTGATCAACCCACCATACAAGCACAGAACTGTGGCACTGGAAAGGACCCCAGGAATCAAGAGTCACGGGTGGCAGGCTACAGAGAGGACCTGAGGCTACATCATGAGCCAGTGGCACAGCTGGGACTAGAGCGTGGCCCTGCCCATGTCCAAACCTGTAGAGCCACCTACCATGCTCACTGTATCCCTCCAACCTCCCACCACATCACCCACCATGGGCCCCCAGACCACCCACCCCACCTTCCCCCATCCTACTTGTTCTTGTATAACTCCATCTTGAGAGCATCTCGCTCTTTGGTTAACTCCTTGTTATCCTGCAAATACAGAGAGGTTAAATCAGGATCTGTCAGGCAGAAGATGTAGCTGGCACACTAATAACAGCAGCTACAGTAACTATTTCACAGTAACACTTCCTCACCCTGAATCACACCACATATTTTCAAGGCATTTCCAAGCCTGTGGGATCATTTGTTTCTAACAGACTGAATAAGGGTGGAAGAGCAGGGAAAGGGATCAAGTTTACAGCCTGCTAACAGAGGCCCAGAGGTGTTAGATGATACTGCTGCTGCTATTAGCATTATCACCAATGTTCGACCCTTTATCGAGTGCTTCTCCAGGCACATGTTAACAGCCTCATTTAGTCCTCGCAACCACCATGTGAGACAGTCACTATCATTATCTCTGTTTTGTAAAGGAAAAGCAGAGTATTAAAAGTGCTCACCTAGGGTCACTTAGAGCTGGGATTTGAACACTCAGCTCCATCTAATTCTCTAAGCCCATTTCCCCCCCCGGGGGGGGGGTGCAGATATGAAGGGGGAAATTAATCTTTTTGTTCACTTTTTGAATGGATGATACATCACATAGTCCAAAGCTTAGAAGGTACAGAAATGAAATGTCTCACAGCCACCCTGTTCCTCTCCCAGTGTTTTATGAACCCTTTCAGATACATTTTATGTGTATTATACATGGTAAACACACATACACACACATAAGCACATCCCTCTCTCTATACAAATGGTAAATTACTAAAGATATTCTTCTGTGTTTTCACAGCCCACATACCATATACCCTTCTCCTAGCACGTGGCCAAGGCCACTGCCAGTCAAGGGCAGGGTGGGCACTCAGCCTCTGGGCTCTGTATTCAGTGCTCACTCACTCCCACAGCACTCGTCCAACTCATGCACGGCAGCCAACTCATCTCCAAGCAACTGTTTTTTTTATTTTTTAGAGACGAGGTCTTGCTATGCTGCCCAGGCTGGCCTCAAACTCCTGGCCCTAGCGATGCTCCTACCGTGGCCTTCCAGTAGCTGGGACTACAGGTGCACACTGCTGCACACCCCAGGCTGTTTCTGACAACCACACAACAAAAGTAGCAAGAAATGGCCCGTGCTGCATTCTGGGCAGTGGGACGCTCCACCCTGCAGAAGGGCCCTTCAGGCTTACTCTGATATCTGGGAAGCTGGCCTGCCAGCCAGTGGCAAACCAGGTGACTGGGCTCACCTTGTCCACCTGTTTCTGTTTCGTGGAGACGGCAGACAGAGTCCGCTCTAAGTCTCCTATCCGCTGCCGAGAAGAGTGCAGGCGGCTGGCAAGATCCTCCGACTCGCCTGGAATGAGGGAGTCGAGATGGAGCCCAAGGCCTCCCCTGAAGGCCTGCCAAGGCCCCAGGCCGAAGGCTGAAGGGTGCCCAGATTCCCACCTTCTTTCTGCCTGATTGCCTGCTGAGTGTGGACCAGCGCAGAATGAAGATCTGACTTCTCAGATACTAGGATCCCTATGGTCTGAATATGAACCTTTGGGAGAAAAGCCAAACAAGTGCTGAAAGAGAGGGAAAGAAATGTTCTCTAGAGGACATGAGGGGACACCATCCAGGCCACTCACCTGGAGTTGTTCTCGTAGGGCTCCCTGTTCCTTCATCGACTTTTGCTGATATTCTTTTTTCTCCTATAGAAAGAAGGAAGAAAGATCTCTTACTTGGGGGAGGCAGAGATGGAATAGCAAAAGTTGTGCCCCCAGAATGCCACCAATGCCCCAGGGCAGACCCACCCATGAGACCAGATTATCAGGAACCCTGTGGGGAATGGGGGTGGGACCCCAGGGGTGAGCCTGCTCCAGGCCAGGATTGGGCAAGACAAGCTGGGGCCTCTACATCTGGGTCCTTCCCCAAACCCATCAGCCATGTCATAAGCAAAGAAATCACATTACTTTTTCCAGCTGATCCATAAGTTCTTGATTATGCTGTTGCTGTAGAGAGAGTCAAAGGAAGGTGACTGAGGTGGTCCCCCCAATCTATTTCCCAGACCAAGAAGGGGTAGGCAGGGGCCAGGAATGGATTTTAAAGGCACAGTTCTGGACCCTATGGAAACCATGAACTGACAAAACTGCCCTCAAGCTCCCAAGGTCAGAGAATTTGTGTGTTTGCTGGTTTTTGTTCACAGCCATAAAACTGAAAGCCTGAATCTGGATTCTCTTTAAAAAATAATAACACAAAACTCTAGAAAAGGACTTTGAGAAAGGAAAGACTTCCCTTCTGCCAGCTTGTGATTTAGAAGGGTACATTCACTCAACAAATATTTACTGAGCACACACTGCAGGCCAGGTACTGTTCTTAATAACATGGATATAGAAATGCAAAGGACAGATGAGATCCTTTTACCCTGTCTTTTACATTCTAACGGGCCTTGAAATCTGATGCTCAGAGCTACAAGAGACCTTCGATACCCTCTAACTCTACCTCCTCAGGAAACTCAAGCACAGAGAGAAGTCGCTTGTCCAAAATCAAAGACAGAGCAAATCAAGGATGAGCCAGGGAGGGAACACAGGGCTGCTGACAACTCGCCAAGCTCGAGCTCCCACGAGAGCCAACCACCCCAGGGCATGTGTGGTGAGGACGAGCAGGGCTGTCTGGAGAAGAGAAGAGTAGGCAAAGAGGGCAGCGACAGAAAGCCATGCGGCATGCTCCGTGCTTGGGGTCCCTCCAGCTGAAGCCTAGGCCCCCCCCAGCACCCACTCTCCCTTGGCACCAGGGGCTCCCGGCCTCTTTCTTCAGAGCCCCAAGGGGAAATTGGAGCCCAGGATGGCAGCGTGGCATCAGGGAACCCCACTGGACTCTTACCAATTCCTCTACTTTGCTACTGAGTTGTTTGTTTGTTAGATAGCTGGAGTCCAGGGCTACCGCTAGCTCGTGGTACCGGTTCTGAGGCGCATGCAGAGAGGAGGAGTTGGAGGAGGGTTGGGGGGAGAGGTAGAGAGAGCAATCATTAGGGTTGGGGTCTGTGAGCTGTCTCAGCTGGCAGAGGGGCACCCAGCCCCCACTGTGGCAGGAGGTCAGGGGCTGGCCTGCAGGGTCACTGGGCCACAGTTCAGGGCCACTTACCTCCATTTCCTTCAGGTCAATGGACGATGAAAAGCCCGTTCCGTTGACATAGGAGGAAGACTAAAAGAGATGAGGGTTCATTCAGAGACGCTCTGTCCCCTCATGGCTAAGCCCTCTGACTTCCTTTCTTTCCCATCAACTAGCAAAATTTTCTTTTCTGCCTAATTTGGACCCCTCCTCCCGTCATCCTTCTGTGCCAACTTCTCAGCATTCTCATCTCCCTGCCATCCCTCCCCTCTGAGCAGCTCTCAGCCTGTGCTCCCACAGCAGGATAAACACGTCACAGGCCCTGTGGCCCAGCTCTTGCCCCTGCACAGCTCCAAGGGGGAAGGCCCAGAGAAGAGGTTGACTTGCTCAGTATTGCCCAGCTGGTCCTTTCTCCCTCTCAGGAACCCCTGCCTCTGTTTCCTCCTATCATATTTCCTTCCCCCTTGCCCCCCTTCTGGGCCCTAATTGCTGGGATACCTCGGACACAAGACTATTGATATGCTGAGAAAGTTGTCGCAGGCTCTCAGTCGATGAGAAAGTCCTAGGGATGGAGACAGGGGTCAGGGGTGCAGGTGGCTCAATGGGAAAGAGGGTCATGGGCAGTGACCTGCCCTGACTCCCTTGCCTAGGGACCGCTGCCCCGACAGGAGACACTCACTCGATTTTGTCCACAAGATCAGAAACATCATCAACATCATGGTCCTGTTTGGGAAGAAACATTATGGTCATTCAATTTTCAGTAAGACTTAGCCAGGGCTGGGGTCAGCCAAGCTCATCCCGACAATCTTCATCTCCCCAAACTTCCAGACAAAGCCTGGTCTTAGCTTCCCCGATCCTAGTCCCCAGGAAGGGCACCTGGCTCTAGAACCAAGTTCCCTGTGAAAGGAGAAGAGAAGCCATGGTGGGCCTGGTCCTTAGGGAAGGAGAGTGGGACACGCACACAGGAAGGTAGCGGGCAAGGGGGGAAGAGGCACAAACCTTAAGTGTTTCCGTGCTAGTGAGCCTAGCATTAGGGGAAGGGACACTGCCAGGTGACAGGCTGTCATCGGTGGAATGACCACCAAGTGACTCAGTGTTATCACGGGAAGGGACACCACTTCCGCTGTCATCATCAGTGGAAGGAAAACCATCAGGTGACTTGGTGTCATCAGCAAATGGTGGCGCAGGGCAAGCGCGGTCTTTGGGCGCCTGTCACAGAACAGAGAAGGGATTAGGGGGCTATGCAGGAGAGAAGGCACCTTGGTGCCATGGACACAAGGGTGCAGAGCAGGCAGGACAGCTGTTGCTGCAGTTAGAGTGACAGTGACAAATGCTGGGAGCCCCTCAGGGGTATGGACACAGCCTGCCCAGGCTTCGGACCACTGGGCAGCATTTCCAGGAGCCAAAGTGCAAAGCAGGGGCTGCACGACCTCCTCCATTGACACACGAGGACCTTGCTGTCCCTAGAACTCAGCAAAAGACAGCACCAGACTCTGACCCACAGCAGCCACAGCAGGCGAGAGGAAGGTGTGCCAGAGTCAGGAGGAAAAAGGCACTGTTCTTCCAGAAAGCTGCTTGGTGCCTCAGCATGACCCCAACCTGGGTGCCTGCTGTGCACAGAAGTGTGGTGAGTGGTCCTTGTGGTCAGTGGAGCTGTCTCTCTCTCTCTCTCTCTCTCTCTTTTCCCAGCCTCCCTCTTCCCTTTACCCTGCCCCAACCATGGACTATATTTCTGATTCAGGCTTTTTTAGGAAAGAAAGTTACCCAACTAAAAGCTTCTCCCGGCCCCCTGGAGGTAAAAAGACAATAAACCATACTCTCAGGGCCACTACCCCCACCCCACCTCTTAGCTCCAGAAACACCTACCCAACCAAGAGAGCACCTGAGAAACCAGGGGTCAGATGTTTGCCCTATGACTCTAGGCAACGTGGAGGTCGTGAGGCCTCTTTCCTGGGAAGAGCAGTTAGGGGATATTCCTCACCTTTAGGACTTGAGCCATGTAAAACCCCACCCCAGCTGGTCCCACTTGCTTGACTGCAGCCTCATCCACCCTCTCTCCAGGCTCATGCCTAACTCTCAGCCCCAGCCCCTGGCTCTAGAGATCTTCTCATGTCCAACAGGCCAGACGGGCAGAGAATGGAAGAGCAGCCTGACAAGAGAAGAGTGTGGGGCAGCCAAGGGCCTGGTCAGGGGAGCCAGGTCTTGGGAGGAAGTGGCTGCACCTCTCTCCAGGCAAAGGGCTGCTGCTCTCAGGACCCTTCGGAGTTGGCCTCTGAAAGCCCAAATCTACTTCCCTCCTTAGAGCAAGTGCTGCAGAGGCTGGGGGACCAAGTTTTGGGGGGACTAAGAGGTTGGGGGACCTCTTGGTGCTTCTCTGGTGCACCTCAAGTTCTGCAGAGGTTGGGGGACCAAAGCTGGGATGAGCCAAGTTGTCTCTGCATCTCTACAAGTAGACTGTGACCATGGCCCTGGAACCTAGCGTTGCCTTGACAATGGCTACAGCTGAATCTAACAGGTAAGAGCAGCGACTGAGCAGCGGGCCAGACATGAGACTTCAGGGGACCCCGGCAGGCGGTCTCTCTTGGCATCTTGGGTTCCCACTGACCTCCAGCGTTAGACACAAAATGTCCCATCCCATTAAAAATGTTTTTCTCTCTCCACTATCCCGTTTCTGGAAATGTTATCAGCTCTATTCAGGGTACTGCAACCACAGGCCTGCACTCCTGGAGTATGAAAGTTACTTGAGAAATAGTTACTGATATAGAGAGTTTAAACACAGTAAGAAGGGAAGACAGGGCCTTCATTTCCAGAGAAGAGGGACCTGGGCGGGTACAGAATTTTAGAACATTACAATAGACTAATAATTTTCTCATGAAGAAACTGAGGCCCCAGATCCCTTAACCACTGAGACCACGGTCCCAGGACTCCTCCAAGCCTGTGCTTCCCTCTCCATGCCACTCAGTGTCTCCTCTGAGTCAACAAGGTGAGTCACAGCACCTGGGCAGACCTGACTGTGGGAAACAGCTGTGATGACTGAAAACTTCTCTATCTGTCCCAGTGTCTCCCTGTGCTCACCTCCCATAGGATCTGGCTCTATTTCCTCTGGCTTGGCAGAGGCCCCCAGGCAAGTCAGGTGTGGAGGAAGTGCCCACATCACATTCAGAGGTCACCTCTTAGCCCTGTGTATCCCGATGCCCTGCCCCCACCCGGTTCCCCTGTGTCCCTGAGAGATGTTCTATGAGCTCATAATGGTGGCCATGACCTCATTGCTCCCTCTGCCTCCCCCACTCTCCATACCGATGAATCTTACCCACCTTTAACCTTCAAACTGGCCTTAAATGTCACCTCCTCCAGCCTCAAGTCCGTTTGCAACCAACCTTCCCACAGCTGAGAATATGTGACATTCCGAGGGCTCTGCCTCCCTCTGCATGCAATCCTACTTCCTCATCTACTTTCTCCACTGTTTAGCAAAGTGCCTTGGCTACCAAGAGCCCGGTGCACATGGCTAAGTGTCCACTGGATTTTTAAAAGCAATTAGAGGCAGAATGTCCTGGTCACTCATCTGTTTGCTTAACGTCACATCCTTTACAGTTAGTTCTTCTAAAAAATAACTTCAATTCTCGCAACTATGATACAAACTCTTTCTCTCAACTGTATGTTGCCTACTCTCAAACCAAAATGAATCAAGTCAAAAAATCATAAACTTCTATGTGGTCTACTGGTTTTGGGGGAAGATGCCCAGAGGGTCAGACCTAAAGGTTTGCTGGGTTTTTAAAAAAATCTCTCCTAGTCTGATAGTACCATTCAAAAGCCCAAATCCCACACATCTGCTCCAAAAGTGATTCCCAAATTACCCTTAACCTTCAAGGTATGTCTCACCTTTACAAGATGATAAATGATACGGGGGAAGTGAAAAAACTCAATCAGTGAAGCAGGTGAAGAAGCAGACAGACAGGCCGAGGGATTAATGGCAGCAACATAAAGTAAGCCAGAAGCAAAGTACCCCCCCAGTGAGAGAAGCCTCAGGGGCATGCACAGCCGGGAGAGAGCAAGCCAGAGAGGGGTCTCGGCATTGCCTCACCTTCCAATTGTCCAATGGGGGGAGTGCTACCCCATTGGAATGGTTAAGGTTGGACACCAGCACCTTCAGAATGTCCTGAATCTATAGGAGACGAAAAGGGAAAAATAAGAGCAGGGGAGAAAGAAGTGGCTTAGAGACAGGCAAGAAAATCAGGCACGGAAGAAGAGGTGGGCTCAGGGAAACGAAATGCCGAAGGAAGGAGATCAGGAGATCAATATCGTGGCCTGCACCATCCTTCCAAAGGGCTACCTGCTGCTTTGCCAGAGGCAGAAACAAATAGAAGAAAAGTCCTCCGAGTGACACAGCTCTTAGTACGCTCACGCTCACGGGGCCCCTTCTTCAGGCCCAAGATGTAGAGGAAATCTGGCAGGGCTCCAGACCCTCAGCTCCATTTTAAAACCAGCCTTCCTCGTAAGGTTTCCTTGAACAAAGAGGGCTACAGCTAAAAAGTAAGTTTGAAAGACACTGATCGAATTCAACATCAACTTATAGAGGACCAGGGAAGGAAGTAATTTTTCTGAAGTTACCCAGCAAGGTGGTGGCAAAAATGGTCTCAAAATTCAGATCTTCTCCTAATCCTAGTGCCTGGGGCTCTCTGTACCATACCCTGCTGCCGAAACAGGGAGAGCATGATGGCAAGTGGTGGTTCTCACTGGCTTCACTTCCCCTTGAGCTGGGGAAGAGGAAAATCAAATAGCAACTACCATGTATTGCATGTCTACGCCAGGCCCTGAACTAGGAATTAATATAAAAACAACAAAAAGACCTCATTTAAACTTCTATAAGTGTCAATAAAACAATATTACCCCTGTTTTACAGGTGTGAAAAGAGAGGCCCAAAGAGACCAAACAGTTTGCCCTAAATCATACCCCCAGCAGAGGGAGAGGGAGGATTCAAACACAGAATTCTCACCCAATACCCGACACTTTTCCCACAATCTTAACCAGTACTCCTTACTTCCTTCTCTTAAGCCCCTATCCCCGGGGGCCTGGCCAGCCAAGACTCACATCCTCAGGTGGGCAGCAACTATCAGTAGCAGTTGTCTCAGAGCTACTACCATTGTTGACGTTTTCCTTTTTCTTCTTTATATAAGAAGACGGGAGGTTGTGCTTCAGTTGATACTCCGCCAACTGTGGGAAGGAAAAGCAGTAATACTCATGAGGACCATGAACCCATATAGTCACATTCTAAAGTAGAATTAAAGTAATGCCAGTTATTTATTTTTTACTTTACAATTTTTACAAAGGACTCTCATTGTGAACACCATTTGATTTAATGCCACCCACAATTGTACAAGGTGTTGTAATGATCACTTGATGACTGAAATAGACTGATACTATGGCTTTTTTAAAAAGGCAATAATGGAATTTAAATTCAGTCTTCTGACTTCAAGCTCCCAGGTTTTGCCATGAATCTGCAGGTGCCAGGGAGCAAAACCAAAGGCAGAGGTAGAAAGCAAGCATTCAGCAGGCAGGAACCATACATTGTGTGGTTTGGAATCAGACAGTGGGGCCCTTTCTTACACATCTGTCAGGGCTGCACACAAGTACTTCCCCAACTTTTCAATGTATCCTAATGCAGAGGATAGTGAAGGCACACCCCTAGGACAAGCCAAGCAGCATTTCAGAGAGAAGACTACTATAATCTTACAAATCTATGCAAAGGCCATCCCTAAGTACATTTGTGTTCTTTCTCTCTCAAGAGAATCAGGCAAAACGGATGCTTCAGAAAGATACCCCGTGTTAATCCCGTGGCACTCAGAGAACCCCAGGTTGAGAAGGTGATTTGGGAAAGATCAAGGCTGTGAAGTTCAGTTTCCCAGGATATGTTCTACAGAAGGTAAGTAGATCTCATGCCAGAGAGCACTGAGCGAACGTGAGGTAGAGAACTCAGGAAAAAATTTTAAAGTCTCTCTGGACAGTGGAAATCTGGGAGAAAACCAAACCAAACTCGTTCTCCCATTCCCACCCAAGAGACACTGTCAACGTTTTGAGCTTGTTGGTGAAGTGTAGGCTTTTCATACTATCAACGTTAAAGTTAAGGGAGCTGTAAACCTCTCAGTCCTAAATTCCGTAGTCCTCAGTCCCTTTCCAGTTGGAAATTTGTGCTACAGAGAAACCAGAAAGGGAGTGACACTTGGCGCGGTACAGGGTCGTAAGATCAAAGGCCAGGCTCTCCGCAGTAATGACAGTTCCGAGGGGGCTTGTGACGCAACTACATTCCACTCCTAGCTACCTACGCCCGTCTCTGCTCCGCGGTGGGGGTGGGGGAGGGGAGCGCAGGGCCGGGACCCAGGTCCTTGGATACTGGAGCCCAGAGCCCAGGGAGGGCGGGTTTGGGGCAGCAGGAGGCGAGGGCTGAGTCCAGATCAGGGAGCCCCGGGAGTCCCCCGCCCAAAGTCACCCTGGGGCAACTGGCTAGGGCGGGGGCTGGGCTGCCGAGGGGGCGGGGCTGTCTGAGAAGACTTTGAGGAGGGGAGTCAAGGGGCGCCGTGGGGAAAGCCCTGCGTGTCTCAGGAGTGGCACAGACTGTGGCAATAGTCCTGCCATGGAAGGGAGCCTCGGGCTGGGTCGGGAGCCGCGACCCGGCGCGTTTTACCTTTTTCCTGGCCCTGGCCAATTTTTGCTGTCGGTTTTCTTCCGACATCCCGTGGGGGGGAGGGTAAATATGGGATCTACAGGAACTCATCATGAGATCCCGACAACCACTGCGAAATCGCTTCCGCTCAACCACTGCAAAATCGCTTCCGCTCGCTACCGCGCAGAAGTGCAACTGAGCCAGAACAGGCGGTACCAGGGCGATACTAGGGAAACACACATGTGGGCGTGGCCCAAATGCGCCTAGCCCATTGGTCGATAAGAAAGATGAAAGGAAAGGGGCGTGGCTAGGCAGCCTCGAGGGCCCAGAGATACTGTGGCGTCACAATGTAAGCAGTGCACGTGCGCAGTCGCTGTCCCCGCCCACTTTGGGTAGGGGCGGGGTGGGCGGGGGTGAGAGGAGCCGGGTGGGCGGGGCCAGCTCTCGCTGGGTGCGCGCGCAGCCTTCAGTACGACCGTTCATGGCCGACTTCAAAGAATTCTAGTTACCTGATGGACCTGAGAGGCTGCTCTCCGGCCCCAGCCCTGGACCCTCCCGCGCCACTGAACCCCTCGACCCGGGGGCCTCGGACCCCAGGGCTCAGGAGGTGGGCGAGGAAAGGACAGCAGGGGGAAAGTGCATCATTTCACAGTCCCTTTCCTGACTCTTCACAGCCCTGCCCCGACTTTGTCCCAGAAATCACCTCCAGGGAAACCAGTCCAGTCCTCCAGACGCTCCCCCTCTCAGAAACTCCCTCAAGCGTCTCTTCCCTGAATCTGGGAGTGTATGTGCCCCACTCCCAGGTTGGTCCAGCCCCGGGCACTCCTACTTCCCAGCTGCTCTTCCTCAGGCACCCCGCAGTAGCCCTTTCCTCTGAGAACAGGCTCTCCTTCAACCAGCCTTTCCCCTCGGATTCCTCTCCAGGACTGAACGCGGACCTGACCGAAGTTACCGCGGGACCTTCCGATCCCCCGTGAGTATGTCTGTGCCCCCCTCCCCCGCCCTCCATCACGTAAACCACTGCTGCTCCCAGCGCTCCTCTCCATCCAAACAGCAGACCTACTCTGCTGAGAACCTCCAGGGCATTTCTCAATCCCTCCCCTTCCTTTTTTCCTGCTCTCCGGTCTTCAAAGAAGTGCTGGCGTGGCCTGGCCAGGGCCCACCCTCCTCCCCATCCCCACGCCTCCCTCCTCCTGCCTCCTCGGGTGCCTTTCCCCGTCTCCAGCGCCAGCCATCTCTCCTGCTCACTGGTTTCTCCCCTCACCCAGCCCTGCCTTTAAACCCACAGGTCCCCTGTCAGGAAAAAGCTTGGCCTTTACACTGGCCACACCTTTTAGCTGCCAGTAGTCTCTTCTCTGGCAACCCACCCCAAAAACTCAGGCTCCTTGTCTCATACCCAGATGGGGTTTCCTCCACCACCACTCTCAAGTTAGATCCGGAAAGACTTGGTATGTGTTTGTTCGTTGATTGAGCAACTGCCGGGATGCAGGTGTGTGCCAGATAGCACCTGCCCTCCCGGAACTACAAGCTGGAGGATAAACAGGCAAAAAAAAAATTCCAGGACAGAATGAGCATGGTCTTGTGAGGGGGAGAAGGGAAGCTCAGACTTAGGCATGCCAGGAGGGCCCCCCAGAGGTGGTGAGGTCAGAGGCAAGGCCTGATGGATAATTTCCATTGAGCTCAGATGACAGGCAGCAAGCCACAGTATGCCAAAAGCATCTGGCTGATTGAGCCTCTCTCTGAGAGCACGTTGGTATCCAGTTTTTGACCTTCCAGTGGCGTCTGACTGTGTAGATCATGCCTTTCTCATCAGTGCTAATTCAGTCTTTCCGCTTTTAAAAGCGAGGCTTTGTTGAGCACTTACTATGTCCCAGCTTACTTTACATACATCACCTTGCCAAATCCTTCCAGCAACCTTAGAGGCAGACACTTTATCATCCCCATTTTACAGGTGAGGCCTCTGAGTTCCAGATGAAAGGCTGAATGACCCAAAGAACAGATTTCACACACAGAGTACGTGGGAGCAACGTGGCTGGTTTATTCACCCAGGTGCGAGTGGGCTGAGTCCAAAAAGAGAGAGAGCACAGAGAAGGTTTAGTGACAGTTTTTATAAATGCGGATAGTCGACCCTCTCCCACCTGCCTTGTTCAGTTCTTTGTTTCTGGGCCAAACTGGCAGGTGAAGAATTGCTTCCTGCTGTGTGCAGCTCGCTTATGGCAGAGGATGGAAGACAGAACAGCTGTTTGTAGTAAATTATTCTTCAAACAAGCAACTCCTATGACTCCTTTGCCCCAGTCACGTCCATCCTTCTGCTTTGGCGTCGTCCTTATCAGGAGAGCTAGGGAGGGATAGCCTTCCTCTCTATCAGGGAAGAGGGGGAAGGAATGCTGGCTGCAGCTTCTGTTAGATCTACAAAATCAGGGGCCTCCCCAGACTCCTGTGGCTGTTGTTTTACAAGCCTGTTTTGCATTAACCACATTCTGTCCTATACATACTTTTCGGGTTCCCACCTGGAGCAAACCTAACACCAGGGAGATTCCGTCTCACAGTCAAGAAGTGGCAGAGCGGAGGTTGTTGAAGGGAGCAGTGGCACTGCAGAGCCTGAGCTCCTCTTCAGGCCTCTTTGCAGGAGCATCCTCCTGACCTCCTTGTCCCTGTTTTTCTTTGCCCGCTTGGCAGGCTCCTCTGCCTTCCGCTGCTCCTTAGGTAAATATGGGCGTTTGCAAAGGTTCTGCTCTCCTGTCTCCTCTGTTTTCTTGCAACACACCCCCTCAAAGGTCTCACTCCCACACCCTCAACTCGCCCCAGTGTCCATGACTCTCCCATCTCTCTCCCTGACCTTTCAAGGGACACTCAGAGCCACCTACAGAATATCTTTGTCTTCCCACTTGCCAAGTCTGAAACCACTCAGCATCCTAACCAGGAGCACAAACCAGCTCCTTCTCCAGCTGCCCTCACATCGTCAGTGGTACCCCAGGCTCTCACGGTGGGTTCTGCCTCTCCTCTTTAACAGTACCACGTGTGGTTGCTTTTCTTGTCACATCAATGTCCTCTCACTCACCATTCCACCACAGGGAAACCACTCTCATTCCCTCCAACACCAGTGTTCTCTCCTGGCTTAGGGCACTTCGATATAATTGTTATACTCTATTGTTTAGGGAATAATGACAAGAAAAATAGTCTACATGTTCAGTACAGACAAAACTACCCTTTTTTGCCCCAAATATTTTCAGTCTGTGGTTGGTTGATTCCATGGATGTGAAACCCACAGATAAGGAGGGCTGATTCTCTGTCCCCTGTTTCTGCGATATTTTCTTTACACTTTTTGCCAAGCTAATGCCTACTCATCCTTCAAAGTTCAGCTTCCTTAGACAAGCCGTATACCTACCCCCAGCTCAGTCTGGTTGCCCTGTTAAACCTCCTTTAGCTTGCTGTACTTCAAAGTACTTTTCAGACTTATAATTAGTTGATTAGTTATTTATCATTCATTCATTCATTTGACAAGTATTTATTGAGTGCCTACTATGTGCCAGGTACTATTGTAGACAGTGTGCAATTAGCAGTGAACAAAACAAAGTCCCTCCCTCCATGGAATTTACCCTCCAGTGATATAAAGTGGGCAATGAAAATCATATAATGAAATATATAACATGTTAGATGATACGAAATGCTGTAAAACATTAGGAAAAAGAGATAGTGAGCGATTAAGGCATTACCATTTTAGACAGGGTACTCAGGGAAGGCCTTTCTGATGAGGTGACATGTGAGTAGAGCTTGAATGGAGATACCTGGAAGAAGAACATAATGGTTGGGTATTTCTCTTTGGGGCTAGGCCACACATTCCATAGAGGCAGAAGGCCAGGCTTGGTGTCTCATTCATTGTTGTGCTCCTGGAGCCTTTGCCAGTGCCTGGCAGATGGTGCTCACTCACTATTTGTTAAGTGACTAGTTACAAACCACTGACCTAAAAATAGGAACAATGTCTCCATGGTAGACACATAGACAGTTTATCCAACATACATTTCCTGCAGATTAGCTGTGTACTAGGCACTGGCCTTTGCAGCTTTTAGAGGCAGGAAGGGCAAAGATGAGCTATAGCCCTAGGGAAGGATTTTGTTAATCCATTGAGATTATAAACCCAGTGATATCACAGATTTGAGAAGGGAACCAAGAAGGGGACCTGGAGCAGATTCTCTGGGGTGAGACTGGGGAACAGGGCAAGCCCTTTAGTTAGGATTGGGTTTGGCTGGTAGCAAAAGAAGACCCCCAAATAACAGTGGCTTAAACAGTCATCAGGGACCCAGGCCTCTATCTTGTTCCACCACGACCTCAACATGCAGCTTCTACCTTGTCATCCAAGATAGCCTGGATGACAAGCTCCGGCATTGCATCCACATTCCGGCCAGCGGGAAGGAGGAAGGTCAGGGGAAAGGAAGACTTCTCCCTGGAAAGACAGTTCCACATGTTGCATGCGCCATTTGTGATTAAGTGCTGCTTGCCAGAACGTAGTCATAGGGCCACATCTACTTCCAAGGGAAGCTGGGAAATGAACTCTCATTCTGGAGGTGGGGTGGGTACTACCAAGCAGAAGTGGGGAGTGGATGTTGGAGGACAACACATAGGCTCTGAATTATTTACTTGCCAGTCCGGCTGATGACTTTTCTCCCACTCAGCGACCATCTCCCAAGTCTGGCCAGGCTGATGGGACTAGCGAGGAGTCTCTGCACCTTGACATTCAGAAACTGAGGGAGAAGAAGGACATGCTGGACAAGGAGATCTCCCAGTTAATATCTGAGTAAGCCTCACAGTTCCTCAGTGTGGTTAATATAACTTGTTAGTGCCCAGTGGCTGACACCCAGTCGCACTAGCTTAGCATAAAAACAGAACAGTGCCTTTGGGTTCAGTTGTCTCAGCAGCCTCTCTGGGCGGGAGCTGGGACTGGAAAGCTGCTGGGAATGGAGGCTGTCATTCTCCCAGACTCCCCCAGAGCTGCATTCTCTGTTTCTGCTTCCACTGGTGCAGACACTATTCTCTCTGCAGGTGGCCTTTTCCATGTGTAGGGGAAGGGAAGCTGGCTCTCCCTCAGCTCCTAGAGTTTCCCCTCGGTCCAGCCACAGGCAGAGACTGAGCAGCCTTGGAATGTGCATTTCACACCTGAGGGACTTTGCCTGACTGGATCACATGCCCATCTGTGAGTCCCTCAGCTGTGGCCAGGGTCACATAATAGCAATGTGGCTGTGGACTCACCTCACCCCACTGTCCCAAGGGACAGGGCACATTTTCCAGGAGTGAGAGCTGGGCAGATCCCCTGCCCTGATTAAGCTTCATGAGGGCATGGTCTGTCTTGTCATCGCTACATCCGCAGTGCCTGGCACTGAGTAGGCCCTTAGTGAACGTTTATTAAACACATGGCTCGTTACTGTCTGACCAAGGGGTCCTCACTGCTTTCTTAACAGTGCTATCTCTCCCTCTCTCCCCACCACTCACCACAGAGGCTACCGTGTGGATGAACTGGAGGACCACATCGGCCGGCTCCATGAGTACAATGACATCAAGGACGTAGGACAGATGCTACTGGGCAAGCTAGGTGAACAGCAGGACTCCAGAGGAGCAAGCAGGGTTCGGGGCCATCCCTTCCCCTAGGGGTACTAGGTTTTGCTCCTTTGCCAGCTTTCCCCCCATTCTCAGCTGCCCTACTCCTGGAATGCCCCAGCCCCTCTTCTCACCAGCCTCTGGTCTCCCTGGCCACCCAGCGAAGCAGCTGTACAGCTCTTACCTGAGTTCCTGGGTTTTTTCCTTAAGTACAGAGCCTGCTTTGGAGCTGCAGGCAGGTTAGAGCAGGGCTCGCCCACCTGCTAGACTAAGGACTCAGGGTCCCAGTCTTCCAGGGCCTACTCAGAGTGATTGAGATACCAAGTGCAAGGGCAACCTTTTGTGGTTTAAATGGATACTTTGCTCCTCCTTAAACAAATCTAGCTATCCACAGGGCTTTAGCCAAGGCACAGACACCTGTGTCTGGGCTGGCTAGGATAGCCCACCTCGAGATAAAGAAATGTGCAGATGGGCGTGGTGGCTCAGACCTGTAATCCTAGCATTCTGGGAGGCCGAGGCGGGCAGATTGCTATAGGTCAGGAGTTCGAAACTAGCCTGAGCAAGAGCGAGACCCTGTCTCTACTAAAAATAGAAAGAAATTAATTGGCCAACTAAAGATATACAGAAAAAATTAGCCAGGCATGGTGGCACATGCCTGTAGTCCCAGCTACTCGGGAGGCTGAGGCAGCAGGATTGCTTGAGCCCAGGAGTTTGAGGTTGCTGTGAGCTAGGCTGACACCACGGCACTCACTCTAGCCTGGGCAACAAAGCGAGACTGTGTCTCAAAAAAAAAAGAAAAAGAAGAAATGTGCAGATGGCCTCATACAAACCCTTCAGTCCCAGCTCAGGTCTGGGCACCCTGTGTGATAGTGTTCAGAGCTGGGGCTGTCTGTCCAATTGCTGCCTGAGTTTTGGTACTTGTTGCAGAAATTAGCGTCCAGGATTCCACAGCAGGGAAGGCTTTTCTGGAAGGAGAAGACAGTAGGGAATATAGGTGGATGAAGAGAGGAAGGTGATCAAGGCCCAAGAAGGAAGGAATGTGAGGGGAGTGCAGCCCAGTGGTTAAGAGCATAAGCTCTCGTTAGATACAACCACCTTGAGACCTGTGACTTCAGGTATATGACCTGGAGCAGGGGCCTGTCCCTTGTTTATTCTGTGGATATTTATTGAGTACCTGCTCTGTGCCAGGCCCCCTACAAGGTGCTGGGAGTACTTTGATCAACCAGGCACTTGAAGATCTCTGTTCTCATGTGGCTTATGTTTTAGTGTTGGGGTTGGGGCAACGGTTAGTAAGTAAATGGACACAGAAAATTAATTAGAAACTGTTTTCAGTGCCATGAAGGAGACAAAGGGCAGAGGTTGGGGGATACTGAGGCATGAACAGGGTATGGGTGGGGGGAGGTAAGGTGGTCAGGGGAGACCTCTGAGGAGAACCCTTCCCAGGGGAGAAAAGGACATGTCTTTGCAGGAGAACAGAAGAGGAACAGCATCACAGGGACTGTAGACGGGCAAGGGCTGGCACATGGGCCAGGCTGAGTCCAGAGTTTTCAGCAGGCATGGGTTATACCATCAATTTATATTTTAAGGGCTGGGCAAGGTGGCTCACACCTGTCATTCTAGCAGGTGTGAGCCTGCTAGAGGCTGAGGGAGGCTGAGAGTCTTTGGGAGGCTGAGATAGGAGGATCACTTGAGGCTAGGAGTTGGAGACCAGCCTAGGCAATAGGCTGTCTCTACAAAAGCTAACAAAATTAGTTAGTTGGTGTGGTGGCTGTGCCTGTAGTCCCAGCTACTTGGGAGGCTAAGGCAGGAGGATCATTTGAGCCCAGGAATTTGAGGCTGCAGTAAACTATGGTGATGACACTGTGCTGTAGCCCAGGGCAACAGAGCAAGATCCTGTCTCAAAAACAAAATTTACATTTTAGGCAGATAACTCTAGCTGCTCTGTGTGGAGAATAGATTCAAGGGGAGCTCTGTTTCATTCCTCTGCAAGATGGGGTGATGGCTTAAGGAGTATTCATAGGCCAGGTGTTGAATACAGTGCCTCATGCATGGAGGAGCCCAGGTGTGGGCTGTTAGCATGGGGTGGCCAGGCAGGGCCCCAGGGAGTGCCTGAAAGAAGTAGCAGGGAGGTTACCTTGGCTGATTAGGTGAGGTGCAGGTGTGGGCACTGGCTTGAAGGCAGAGATGTTGGTCCTTGGTGAGTCAGGGCAGTGACACTGGCCCAAGACTTTGGCATACTCCCTCTGAACATTCATCCTTCCTTCCTTTCAGCTGTGATTCGAGGTGTCACCACCAAAGAATTGTATCCAGAATTTGGTCTGGACATGAATGACTGAGAAGAGGCTTACAGCCCCTTGTCTGTGGCCCAGAGGGGCAGACGGGAATGGACATGAGAAGCCATGAGAGTCCAACCAGCAAACCTACAGGGTTTCTAGCAAGAAAATGCCAGAAGCTCTTTTCCAGAGAGCCCAACCTCCCACCTAGAGAAGAAGGGGGCAGGGAGAAAGGAGTATTCCCAGCTCCAAGATTCCTGAAATGTCCCAGCAAGACCCATGCAGGGATGTGTGTATCCTGTTTGTCAATAAACATGTCTGTATACTGATTCTGTCTTCTCTGATTGCCCCAGTCATAGCCGGGAGAAAGCCTGCCTGGGATTAAGACAAGTTTACACCTGCCAAGCACTGTGCTAAGTACTTTACGTCCATCATGTCTGATGCTTAACACCATCCTACAAGGAATTAGTATCACTGTCCCCGTCTTACAGACAAAGACGTTGAGGCTCAGAGAGGCAAAGTGACTTGTGCAAGGTCACACACGGCAATAAGTGGCAGAGCAGGGATTCGAGTCCAAGGCTGGCTCTGAAGGTTGTGCTTCGCATACTGTCGAGAAGAAGCAGTTGTGAGCTGAGAGTGAGCAATGGTGACATTGGGAAGAATTCCTCCCTTGGAAGTCGGTGTGTGGAACAAGGGTTCCAGTGTCCAGTTATAATTCTCGGCCAAGCAAGGGTGAGCTGTCACCCTTTCTTCATTGTGTGTTACCATCATGGATAATCAGCACAGCAGAAGAGCAGCCAAGCAATCCAGAACGGCAGCGTTGCATGCTGAGCTGGCCTGCCGGGCCAGCTCAGCGCTCTCAGTCTGCCAGCCGCCCTCTGGCCCTGTCCCTGCTGAGTGGGATGGCAGTGCTTAGGGACAGCCTGTTGGGAGGTGAAGGAAGTATAGTTTCTAAAAACCAGCCATGCAAGTTCAGCCTGGGTTTGAGTCCCAGCTCCTCCCACTTCTGAGCTGTGTGACCATGGGCAACTGACTTGGGCTCTGTGAAGTGCCAATAGTAGCAGCACTGTGTTCATCAGGGCAGTGGCAAGCAGCCGCCTCAGCAAACAGCCCCCAAGTCTCGTGGCTGAACACGATAAAGGTCTATTTGTCTCAAGTCTGATGAGGGTCTGATAGCCCTGCTCTGTTTTGTAGCTACAAGGCCAGAACATGTGGCCACCAGAGTCACCACGGCAGGGGAAGAGAGAAAAACACATCAACTCCACACTGACTACCCCAAATCTGGCAGACATTACTCCTGCTACAACTAGCCATGTGGCCCAAACTGCCCCTGAGGGAGGCTGGGAAATGAGGGTGAGCACATGAATATTTGATGGGGAACAACTGTCCCCGCCACAAGGACCCCCCTCCAAAGGGGGAGTGCCTGCATAAGACTTAGCTACTAGGACTTGGCTGGACAGCAGCCAGTTCCCCCAGCGACCCACACCCATGCTCTGGCTCCCTGCCAGACCTCAGACACTATCTGCCCTTCTAGATTCACCTAAAAAGCCCCTGGGACACTAGCCCCAGGCAGCAGGCATTCTCATTACTGGGCTTTCCTTCCCATTTCTTATACTTTATACTTTCACATCATAATGTCAAGTCTTTCACAACCACCTTATGAGGTAGGTTCCATTATTGTTCCCATTTTGCACACGAGGAAACTGAGGTTCAGAGAGGGGAAGCAACCTGGCAAAGGTCACACAGTGAATCAGTGGCCGGGCTGGGACCACAGCCCAGGTCTGCCTGGCTCCTGACCCAGATTCACACCATGAGGCTTTGCACCAGACTCTTATCACACTGGATGCCCTGAGTATGAGACTGTCATTTTCATGACCCACCTGTGCCTCACCTATGCTCAGGATTTGCCTAATTGAATGTGGCTTTGGCCCTGTTCCCTTTGGTCTTGGGTGGGAGCTAGCAAGCTAACTGGCGATGGAACCAGGCCTCTGTGGGGCTCTGAGACTCATGCTTCTTAGGTCCCACCCCGCTGTCACCTCGCCCAAGCCAGTGAGTGCCTCACCTGGACCACACTGTGTTATGGTGGAGGAGGAGGGGAGGCCGGCGTCCAGGCTCCAAGTTGGGGGAGCCCAGGACAAGTGGTCCCTTCCTGGAGGTTCTCCTGCCTCACCCCACTTCCTCATGTGGCGAGGTGGCCTATCTTCCTCTTCCCACACAGAGTCTCCCAGTGCTAGGCGCTGGGGAGCCACAGTGCTCACCCGCCAGCAGGAAGTCAGGGGACTAAACACAGTTTGACAAAGGGCTGTCATGCTTACAGAAGTGCATATGAACAGCACCAGACCACTTTGTGACACTGGGAAACTTCCCAGTGGGAGGGACGCCGATGCCTCTACAGGAGTTGGCCAGACAAGAGCACTCCGGGCAGGGGAAACAGCATTTGCAAAGGCCTAGAGGTGGAGAACTTAGCGGGCCCAGGACACACAGGGATTCGGTCTGCTTGAGGAGTGGGCAGGGTGGTGACTTGCTGGCTGTGTTCACTTGGATTCTCGGTGCAGGAGGAGAGCTTCACCGAAACACAATCTTAACCGACTCTGCACTTTGGGCCAGTCTTGAGCACCCAAAGGGGATATACTTGGAAGTGAAGCATCACCTGGGTCCAATCCTCTGCGCGATCAGCTCTCCCAGGTGTCATAGTGAGCACGGCCGCAGGGGGGCAGCATCCGCTCAGAGATGCGCCCAACAGCCCCAGAAAGCCAGCCCTGGGAGGGCCTTGTTGGGAAGGTCCCCACCCGCCAGGCCACTGGCTGAATGCCAGGTCCTAGCGCCCCACACAGCAGAGGGCGTTCTCTCCGGCAGCCGGCCTCCCCGGCGGCTGAAGGGACCAGGCAGGGAGGTGCAAGTGGTAGCGAGATGTGGCTTTCTCAGGGCGTGGCCAGGCGGTGCGGGACAGCAGGCCACAGAGGTCAGCTCTGACACGGAGTGTGCACACGCTCAGTTTGTTTGATCATATCCGGTTAAACCCTACTAAGAAATATTTATCATCGGCACCTACGGAGTTCAAAACACTAACACAATACAGCCTGCCTTCTCATCCTGGGGACCAAAAGGGGTCATTTCTGGGCAACCTGACGTCACAGAGGCAGTGGCACCAACTCCAGCTTTGCTCAGAAGGGGACACTTTGGGGAAAGAGGGAGGGAAGCCCAGGCAGGGGCCCAGTGCCCCCCTCACCCCTGATGTCCTGGAGGCCTTGTGAGGAAAGCTGCAGGTTGCCAGTCAGGTGGAGGGGACTGAGAATGAGGTGAAAGGTAACGATTACAAGTCCAAACCAGTTATAAACCAAAGGTTTCACGAGAGAAGGGATTGGTGGCCGCAATAACCAACACTTAGGCAATTCTGTGCGTCAGACAGGGCGCTGAGCACCTACCTCACCTGCAATATCCCTGTCCCCAGACTGAGCAGACTGAGGCTCTGGGGGCCATGGCACTCACCCAGGGCCACAGGTCTGATACAGAGTGGAGCTGGCTGAGTCCGGAGCCTGGCGGAGTAACCCTGGGGTGCTGTCCTTCTTCCCAGCACAGGCTCTTGAGTCTCCCATCCAAGATCATGCATTACTAGAAGGAGAAGCAGAACTTGAATCCGGAACTCTCTGAACCCTTAAGCCCAAGGTCTTAACCACAAATATCTGCTATGTTTCTTATAATTTGTATCGGCCCAGGGCCCTGACCTAGTGGCTAGGTCAGTGGCCAGAAGTGAGCAGTCCCTGCCCTGGGCTCAGCCTGGCCCCTCCATCCTGATTCCTTTAAGCACACTGCGCTGCATAGCTCTCTTCTCTACGAGCTTCTCATTCCCAACACCAGGGACTCGGAACAGGGGCAAAGACTCCCCCGACCTTTAACTCCCTCAGTTTCCCCTGTGCATCCCAGAATTCCAAAGAGTCTCGGCTGGGATGATAATTGTAGCGTAGCAGTTAACCCTTGGAGGACACTCTCTGTGCCAGGCCCTGAACCTGATGCTGGCCTGCCTGTTACATGTATTCGTAATGCTAGCCCTAAGAAGTAAGTAGAGTTATCCCCATTTTCCAAATGGAGCAAGTGAAGCTCAGAGAGGTTAAGTCACTTTCCCAAGAAAACACAGCTAAGTAGCAAACTATGAGGTTGAAGGGGTTCCAAAGACATGCTCTTTATTTTATTTTGTTATTTTGAGACAATTTTGCTCTGTTGCCCAGGCTAGAATGCCATGGTGTCAGCCTAGCTCACAGTAACCTCAAGCTCCTGGGCTCAAGCGATCCTCCTGCCTCAGCCTCCTCACTTCCTGGAACTATAAGTGTATGCCACCACACCCAACTAATCTTTTCTGTTTTTAGTAGAGACGGGTCTCGCTCTTGCTCAGCCTGGTCTCAAACTCCTGACCTCAAGTGATCCTCCTGCTTCAGCCTCCCAGAGTGCTAGGATTACAGGCGTGAGTCACCATGCCTGGCCCAAAGACATGTTCTTTAAAGACCAGGAGCAAAGCTCTGAGTATCACAAGTATCTAAGAGAGCTTTTAGAAATAAAGTTTGGGTCCCCAACCTCTAGAAATTCTGATTTTACAGATCCAAAAATGTATTCTTTTTAAGCAAGCTCCCCAGGTGTTCTTGATTTCTTAAATCTCTGGGACATCTTCCTTGGTGGTTGATGAAATTGCTTCTAACCACCAGTAATTAACGTCCTATCAAATCCAGCCCTCAAACCAGCCCATCTTCAAACACATTTACAACCCACTTGACCCTAAGAGCCAGCCTTGGTCAGCACTAGATCAAACTAGGTGTGATTTTATCTGGCTTCTCCCCAGAGCCATCTCACAGGCCCTGGCACTGTTCAGCTCCATTTGTTCTTAGAGTTGACTTGCTCCTCCACCCTCCACCCTGGCACCAGCAAACCTGCCCGGCTGGTTTACCAGGGAGGAGCTAGGCCTGTTTTGCCATCTTAGGGCCCTTCCTGATTCTGATTTATTTATTTATTTATTTAGAGACAGAATCTCACTTTGTTGCCCAGGCTAGAGTGAGTGCCGTGGCGTCAGCCTAGCTCACAGCAACCTCAAACTCCTGGGCTCAGGCAATCCTCCTGCCTCAGCCTCCCGAGTAGCTGGGACTACAGGCATGCACCACCATTCCCGGCTAATTTTTTCTATATATATTAGTTGGCCAATTAATTTCTTTCTA